CTAAAGAACATTAATTATTTTCCATCCTTCTGAGAGAAGGGGATGGTATAAGGGTAAGTGTATAGTTATAATGCCATATACTATTATAAGTGTAATTAAATTTTTATATAGAATTGACTCAATTTTTAACTCACTCTCAATTCTCTCTAGATTTAAATAATGATCCCAAAGAGATCTCACTACTAATGATACTAGTTGATAAATGATTATTTGTTCAGTTTTTGGTTGGAAAACCAAAGGTATTAAGGGAAACTAGATTAAACATAGTTTTTAAGTCTAGGATACATTCTATCAATTTTAATATTAATTATAATAATACAAATGGTATATTTATTATCAATAACTAATAATCAAATGAAAAAATATTTCAGCTCATCTTTTAGACTATTTAGATTTTTTTTTGAGTGGGTTTTGATTTTGCCACTCAAGGAACTTAAGTTTCATATATGTTTCAGAGTATTTTGTATTTTAAATAATTTTTAATAAAACGAATTTTAGAAAGCGTTCTATGAATATTTCTTATTAAAATTAATTAAATATAAAATATATGCTCTAAATATTGTAATATAATTTTTACAAATAAGAAATTAATAAATAAAACTTACTTCTTTTATTTTTCATTAAGATTGAGAAGAGTGGGTTCCCTAAAATACTACCTTGATAGAGGTGATATTGTATTAACTGCCAGATCATCAATAAAGCTGAGATAATTTTGTCCATCATCTTATTATAGTATTTTAATTCTTTAAAATACATATTGACACTGTTGTTACAAGTTAAGTTTTATATAATATAAACTTCTTTAATTATATTTTCTAATTTAGCCAATTGTTAGATTTTAAGAAAAAATCTTAATGGCTAAGTTACAACTTAAAAACCTTTAAATGTGTGTAAGGTAGTAATTTCAAGTCATTTGTGTGGTGTCATCTACACAAAGTTTTGCCTTTCATAATCTTGAATGACATTGATTCACCAAGCTTAAATCTTATTTTAAATCATTTAACACTTATGTTTGAAATAATGTTTTTAATATTTTTGATATTATTCATAAAATTTACTATTTCAGCTATAAATTATAGTGGAAAAAATAGTATGACAGTTGAGAGTGTTAATTTAATTATTCTTGCTATTGAACTAATGATTAATATCACTGAATCTGGAGAGTTACCAAAAGGTCAAAGTATGCAATATGATTATACAATACAAGATTATATATATGGTCCTTTAAGCATGACAAATCAAATATGGATTTATAGTTCAAATGGAAAATTTATTGGTACAACTTGTGGAGCAAATCTTGTTGAATATGAACACGATGATGGTGATAATGTAAGACATAGATTGACTACTCTATTAAATTTATATCGTAATAATATTCTTAATTTACGTGCAAGATTTGTTAGAATAGTGTTTGGTTCTTATGCTATTGAGTTTATGGAAAAACATTCTGCACATAGATTACCACAAATTCAAGATACTATATCCAATAATTTACATGATTGTAGAATTGATCTCACTACTTTAATTAGTAATATGCCTTACAATTCCTTAAAAGCTACTGAATTTTTATTATCACCAAATAATAAAGCTTATTTATATTTACATTTAAATTGTATTCTTTCTTTATATGTAAGAAATGTTATAAAATGGTATAAAGGATCTTCAAATTTTAAAAACTGTGAATTTAAGATAGAAATGGATGGGAATATTGATGGTTTGGTCTCCTAATATATATTGTAATAAGAAGAGAAATTGTGATATAGGAAAAACATTTCTTTCTCTTCAAAGTGACTGTAATTTGGTATTATATGAATCCCATCAGAAAACATTTTTAAAACATCCTAAATTGAAGGTATTGTGGGCTTCAAATACAAACCCATGTAATTAATTGTAATTTCTTTGCTATGCCCTTTGCAAATTGAGAGAAAACTGTGATAATTTGTATACAACTAGTCAACAATTCTCAAAAGAAATAAAGACTCTACCTACTTCAGTTGCTCCTTTAGAGAAACTCCTTAATACGGTTTCTTTTTTGAGATGTAATTTAGATTTACATGCAGTTTAAGGGTAATTTAAAGTTAAACCCTAGAAATATTTCTCTTTCGATTGTGCACTCCATCTTCCCATGTGAGATCTGAGAAACTCCATTTCGGCGCTTGGGGATCCGCCGCTATGTTTCCCTTGGCGGAGACGGTGACGCTGTAGGTCAGCTTCTGTCCGGGCTTGTGAAGCTCAGTTTGCTGGGAGTGACCGAGATCGAGATTCCCTTGGCGCTTCCCACGGAAGCGGTGTAGGTCGCGCCGGGATTTCCCACATTGGTCACTGGCCTCTCCACCGTCTTGCTGGATCGATCCAAGAGGACTGCGATGGAGGGATAGTTGAGGCTGAAAGAGGTGTCGTTCTTGGGGCATTTGCTGCTACTGTCGCCTGTGATGTTTTGGATTTGCTTGGAGGTATAGCCCGAGTTACAGAGATAGGTGATATAGTCGAGAGGATCAGTGTCGTAGACTAGTCCTGGATCGACTGCTTTTGCTGGTTGGATCTCACCGTTTCCAACGTCGAAAACAGTCGCTGCCTTGTTAGTGCTTGGATCGACGATTGTTTTGTTGGTGTTGGCTTTGGTGATAGCTTGAGTCTCCAGTTTTATTTTGTTTTCTCTCGACTTACCTGTGGTCATGACTGCTGATTTGATCGCCGCAGGACTCCATGTTGGGTGAATGGATTTCAAGTAAGCGATGGTGCCACTGACGTGAGGGCACGCCATGGAAGTTCCAGAGAGAAAAGTGTACTCCACAAACACTTCCTTTCCATTGTCAGTGTCGGGGATATTGCTTGGCCAAGCTGCTAAGATCTCGACTCCTGGAGTGGTAACGTCCGGCTGCAACGCGAGATAAGTCACAAGCTTCATGGTATGTCTTTCGAGTACCTTGATGATATCCGGACTGATTGTGTGTGGACCTCTTGACGAAAACTCCGCTACAAGAGGTGCTGGCTTGTAAGGAATCGTTGTTCCTCTGAGAATTCGTGATTTACGACTGCACAGAAAGCACGAGGCCAAGAGTAAGTTTCCATCACCTTTTGATCATCTGTTATACTTACTTGGCTGCTATTTTAGCATCCTCGTTGATCTCCCTGTCGATTGTACTGGCACCAACTGTGAAGATCCAGGGAGCACCGTTGGACACTGATCCAGTAAATGCTGTGTCCGAGCCAGAACCCGAGTTCGAGATGGAGCCCGAGCCCGACCCCGACATAGTGCACGCGGGGTGGAGCCCGGCAGCTCGCACATGCACTAGAAGTCCAACTGGGGGTGTGGAGCCGGGCACCTGAGGTCTGACCTCGGCTGCCCAACACTCTCATCCCCCACTATCCTTCCGGTGTTTATGGCCTACCACGCCCCAGGGAGACAAGTGCTTTGTCTTTCCACCGTGTATGCCTCCACTACAGGTAACTCTCCATGATACTTGGCTATGCCGAGTTCCACAAAACCTTCAATAGCTCACCTATTGATCCAAAGTTTCCACCAGCGCAAGAGACCATGATTCCTCTTTCAACGGCGTAATAGGCACCAATCGCAATGACGTCTATGCTGTAAACTGCGGGATAGCCTCCGAGATGGACTAAGCGATTGTTTAGATTGCTAAACCTTTCTTTTTCTTTTTATCTTTGTTTTTTCAGCAGGAAAAAGAAAATTTTCGCTGAGCATAATTCCTAGCTCGCTGAAGAGCTCACAATGAGGTCTGCCAACTTGCTGGAAGAGCGAAACCGAAATGCACAATCGGAGGCTGAGTTGCAAGCCAAGAATTCTTCCTTGCTACTGGCTGTTGATTGATGACTTGAATATTGAAAGGGCTGCCAAGGAGAAAGAAGAAGCTCTGGTACGAAGTCGAAAGATCTGGAAACGGAAAAACATGGATTATCTGGTGTAAGATCGTTGTAAAATGACTTGCAATGTCAGGAATTGCGATTTGTCAAAGAGGATACTGGCCTTAAAGAACATTTATCAATTGAAGCTACCACTGAAGATCTGTATTTTCTTGTTTTACTTTCCTACTGACAGAATCTCCTATTTAACAGACATCAAAGCTGGCCAAACTTTATAAACACAGTGGTCTAAAAATTAGTGCACACTTCTCTAGGATGTATGTTCTTAGTCTCCATTGACCACTACTCTGCATAAAAAACTGCAATCCAGCCATCATCTACCACCATTTTCTAGGAAAGTCCCAAAGCATGGTGGATGATGTCTTTGTTATAAACTTGCCAGTTATCAACTTTGTGTTTATCATTCACATAGCACAAGGTGAGTGCCATACTGTTGAGAGGTGTATGTAAAATCCCACCTCCCGCTTATGCTTCTAAGCTGGCATTGGGGGTTTCAGCCATCCCAATGTTCATCAACTCCCATTTTCCTGTGGAGACTGCAACAAGGAGGGGAGATCCAAAGCCATCTTTGGTCTTCCTCAATGTTTTCTTGTTGAAAAGCACTACTACTGTTTTTTTCTTCCGTCCTTGTTTTTTTTGTTGCCTTGACAGCAACCCCAGAAAGCATTTCTCCAATCTCCTCTAAATTTGAAATTCCATGGGAAACTTGTGTTTGCCATTGTTCATGTTGTTGTTGAAAGCCTTCACCAAACACGCCTCCCCGATCAGCCGTACGCACTCACATATGGTCGCGACCAAGATCTTCTTGGCATCTAATCAAACTCCACAATGGCCGCCTCCACTCTATGCAATCCACACAAGCATCTGCTCGATCACCTCCACTGCCTCGTCCAGCTTCCCAGCCTTGCAAATCTCCGCTATGGAAAGGCTGGATGTCGCAGCGTGTGGACCGTGCGACAAACCCGAATCACACTGGCAACGCTGCACAACGCTCTTGCGGATTGCCCGAATCACACTGGCAAAATCGACCATTCGCCGCTTACCTTCTCCATCAAAGTAGGAGATGAAACCAAGAATGTTTAAATTGTAGCATATTCCCTATCGAATAATTCATACGAATATAGAATATGCTTACCAATATAGAATATGAGTATGGAATATTCTAGCTCCTGCTTAGAACCTCGAGAGCTTGGAGAAGCTAAACTTGAATGGGTTCCAAAGGAGACCAATCTTCAAGAGATTCCATCCACCAAGTATCTGCCATAGCCACTACCCATGAATCCTCATGAAGAAATCCAGAGTGAAGAAGAAACACAAGAGCGGGATAGCAAGCCAAGTTACATGAGCAAGCCGGTGAATTCCAGCGAACTTTGGTACCACCCGAGCATCATCAGCTGAGCCACAGCAAGCACAGATCAATCCCAGAGAAAGGAGCAAAGAAAACTGAAGTAAACCGAGGCTTGCTTGCTTGCTCGCTCGCTTGCAATCGCTCCAGAGCGACAACGTAATCGCTGCGTTGTCGCTTGCCAAGCTTCTAAGCAGTAGTGTTGCAAGCTTTCAACCCCCTGCTATGCTTTAGAAAACTTAGAGACAGCAGTATACCTTTGGCGCTCGTCAGCTTCGAGGGTGGTGGTGGTGCCAAGGCAGCAGCGTCGTCGCTCTTGCTCAGCGTTTGCTCGCTCGAGAGAAGTTTGGCCTCCTCCTCCGCGATGATCGCTGGCGACGGAGTCACGAGCAGCGGCCCCGAGTTGAGCCACGAGTGCTGCAGCGCCTGTGCGGCGGTGAGGCGCTTCTCCGGGACGAACTCCAGGATCGGGCACAGGAAGCTCGACAGATCTTGTGCGTCAACTTCGGAAAAGTCGTATTTCTCCACCAGCACTCTCTTGAGGGGCCAGAATCGCAGCTTCCGGATGTGCCTCAGATCACCGTGACGGTTGAAATAGTCGTGTGAGTACCGTCCGCCTAGAGCAACCTGTGTGATTTACAACGACTAAGAACCTTGGAACCTTGAAACTAGCAACGAAAAAACTCACCTTCCTTGGCATCCGGCCCAAAAGCTCCATGGTAAGAGCGAGGTGGTCCTGAAAATGCAATGACTGTGGTGGTACACGAAGGGACAAACCAGCAAAAGCTATTACCTCGTCTCTGTCGTAATCTTCTCCGGTGTGTGGATCGAAAAGAACGTCTCCAGTGGCAAGCTCAAAAACCACGCACGCCAATGACCACATATCCGCGGGAGTGGAATACTTGGAGCCGACGAGAACTTCCGGGCACCGGTACTGCCGCGTCTGGATGTCTGCAGTGAACTGCTTGTACGTCCAGCAAGCGTTCCCCAAGTCCACAATCTTACACCGCAGGTCTACGTCGTGGGAGGTCTTGCGATTGGAGGCGAGCGGTGGAGGCTTCTTTACTTCGCAAATCAGCTTCTCCACATCGGACGGAGCATCCTCGAGGCAACTCTTGTCCAAGCCGATGTTCTTCCACGCATCTTGGAACGCTTCGATCTCTGCTTTGCCAGGCTCTCGATCCTTCATACTTTTATTCGTAGCAATGCCGTCAAACTCGTCGCCACCTTCCTTGCCAGTAGCGTCGGTGTTCTCCTCGGCTCTAGACTTATTCTTGTGATCGAAGACCCTTGCTTTCGGCAGAGGCGTCGTAAGTAGAATGTTCTCGGGCTTGAGATCGGTGTGTATGATCGACAGCTCCCTGTGGAGATAATCCAGCCCAACGAGTACCTGTGCCGAGATCTCACGGACCACTTGCAGCGGCAGTCCCCGGCAGTCGTGACGCTTGATGAGAGTGAGAAGGTTGTCCCCCAGGAGCTCAAACACCAAGCACACATGCTGCCCGTTTGGACCAGTGTGCCTGAAGTGGTCCAGCAGCTTGACAACACACTTTTTGTTTTCGGGATCTCCTTTGCTGATTTGTGTGAGAATTGTGATCTCGTCCATTGCGGCCTCTGTGTAGTGTTGTGCACTCTTTTGGATCTTGAGTGCTATATTTTTCTGGAAGAAGGAAAAAATCAAACTTAAGTCACTGGAACCAGCTACCTATAGAAAGGGAAAAAATCACTGAATCAAATCAAGAAATCTTCGTCCTAACGATGAAATGCTTGAAAAATTCTAGAAAGAAAAAAAATCACTGAAGCAAAGCAAGAAATCGTCGTCCTATTGAAAACCGCTAAGAAATGCTAGAAATATCCTAGAAAACTCACATTTTCATTGTGCCGATCGCTGGAAAGCCAAACGGTAGAGAAATGCCCCCATCCGAGCTTCTTGCGCACCAAATACCGGCCATCCTTGTACAAATCCCCTACGCACACTGGATGATACCCTCCCGGCCGATAATCCTCACTGGATTCTTCATCGTCGTTCTTAAAAACCACTTCCTCCTCCTCTCGATCTAGTAGGAGGCTTTCCTCCTCCTCCTCTTCCATGGCCGCTGCCGATCGCGCTCCTCCTCCTTCCTCCTCCTCATCCACGGCGCCATCGGGCCTCGCCATTCCAGAACGCAGCGCATGGAGGGAAATCCAAAATAAAACCCTACCATAAATCTAGGGCACAGTTGGAAAGGACACGTCTTTTAAGAGCGCTGGTTCTCTTACACGCAAGTAGAAACCGTGACAATGTCGGAGATCCAGCCAATGTACTCGAATTTGCAGCGGTGCTCCACGGTGTGGAGCTCCTGCGCGTTCTTCTTGAGGTATCGCCAGAAGCTGGGCGATCCAGGGAAGCCCATATTGTCCGCCACGATCACGCTGCCACTCTTGAGCAGCCCCTCTTCCTTGAGCTGGAGATAATCCTTGAGATAGACGTTCTTGTTGTGATCAATGAAGACCAGATCGATGGCGCTCAGCTGGAGCTCGTCGCGGATGATCGATTTGAGCTCCGCAAGGCAAGTCTCGAGCGTGCCCTCGAGAACGCGGACCCTATCAGAGAGACCTGCGAGAGATAATCAGGGCCGTTAGCTTCAAAATCGCGATCCAACGGTGAAGAACACACGAGGAAGAACACGAGCTACTCACCTGCAATCTCCACCATTTTCCTCGCGATCTCGACGTTCTGGGGATTCATCTCAATGCTGATCAGCAGCCCATTTGGATCTTTCATCCGCGACGCGATTCTCACGGCCGAGTAGCCGCAGTAAGCACCCAGCTCCAGCGCGAGCCGGGGATTGGAGCGCTCCACAACCGAGTCGAGAATGGGGCCTTTGTCGTCGCCGATGTTCATGAACCACGTCCCCTTGGATGCGGTGTAGCGATCGATTACATCCAGCACGGATTTGGGATTCCCTGGCTCGGCCTCTGCGACTACGTGCTCGAGGAGGCGCTGCTCTCGCCCATCGCCCACCTGGCCCCGGAAGAATTACTCGGGCTCGTCATCGCCCGGAGGAAGGAGAGCGTCTTGGACACGGAGGGAGGAAGCATTCCTTCTTTCCTTTCTAGCTCTGCCAAAGGAGAGAGATCTTGGATCGATCGATCTATCTCTCTATCTCACTTCAGTGATGGATTGGACCTATGGAATCGATAAAAAGCAAGCTAAGAACCAAGATCTCTCTTTTCTCTTGGGATTTTTTAGCGGTTTGTGCAAACGGTGATGGAATTAATGAGCCAGGGTCGGTTGGTCACGTTTTCGAACGAAAGCGTACCCGGAATCTCGAGAGAATCTCTCGTTCATTTATGATGGGAGAAAGATAGATCTGTCCTTCCTAACAATCCAAGGAAATTTCAAGCTTTGATCGATCATTTTATATATACTGTTTGCGATGGGTGTCGTGAATCCCACGAAGATAATCTCTATACGATGATCCTGTACAGCTCAAGCGAGAATTTTCTTTTCTTTTTTCTCTCTTTTCACTTCGTTTATGTGCCTATAGGTGATCGATCGTCTGGGCCGGCGAGCATCACCTGCGAATGAGAAGAAAACGTTAGAAGCACACCAACAAGAAGAGAATTCTTACATTGCAATCAAACGCAAATCTTCGTGCCAGCATGATCGCAGCGTTTCGCTCGCGCTCGGACTCAAATCCAAGCATGTAAGTCAGGCCTCGCTTCACAAGCCAAAACATGGCGAGAGGAGCGGCCTGTCCGCCGCCTCTTGCTCCGCAAAGCTGCAAAATGGAAGCTTTCGATCAGTATCCTCGTTTGTCCTCAAAGAGTTCAAAGCTTACCTGCATGCCGGCGGCGTATTTCTCTTTGATCTTCGTTGTCAGTCCTTTACGGAGCTTCATACGGAGTCTTCCAATCTCCAAAGCGTGCAATGCTTGCTTTTCTACGTACTCGCCATTCTGCTGTACAATAACTACCTGCAAAAAACGAAAAGCTTCGTTGTTTCTTCAAAAGAGATCTTGTCCATCACTAACATTAAACTCTGAACCGCCCTTCTTTGCCAACGCTTCGACGTAGTTCCCCAATCCAGGCGCTGGAAAAGAAAGAGATGTGTTATCCTTGAATGGGAATAAGCTACGAACCTGGATCAACAGGGCCAGTTGTAGATAAGAATTCTTTCGCTCCATCTGGTAGAGTAATATCCACTCGCAAAATTCTTCCAGCATCAAACGGGTCCGGAGCGTATTGTGACTTAACAGCACCTGGTGTTCACTTGTCAGTCACAGGTAGAAATTGCATAACACGTCTAGAGATTTCTTTACCTGATATGAGTTCCTTTTTACCCCCGTCAGCTGAGATCCGATGCCATTGGAATTTGCAGGAGGATAGATCGGGTGCTTGCTCGTCTACAGGCGATAAGCTTAGCAAAGATCCCAGACATTCAGTACCATCGACACGATAAACTCTCGCATTAGCTCCGTGTTTTGCAACATCCAACTGCAGACATACATATCACAGGTAAGTGGAGCTCATAAACTTGAAAGAGACTCGTCACCTCTTTCCTTAGTTGCAGAACCTCCGCTGACTTCACGTCAAATTGTTGTTGGATAGCTTGAAGTTTGTAGTCCATGTCCATGACCTGCACAACCTCCAGTTATGTGACAAGCCAACTAGAAATGGAAACTAATGCAAAAAGAAGGAAAGAGAGAACCTTGCTAGGCTCGTGAAGCATTTTTATTCTTCGAGCTTCTTGAACTTCGCGCCTCATTGCCTCGAGTTCCTGGCAGTGAAAGTTCCTGCTTGAGTTCCTCGAAAGCTGATATATGCTTACTTACAGCTCTTTCGGAATCACTGTAGCTACGCCTCTGTTGCTCAGTAGTCAACGCCTCGACTCTCAAAACTGAAGCCTTCGCCTTCTCAATCTCTGCCTGTGCCACGGAGCGAGCTTCTTCCACCATCTTCTTAGCTTCACCTGAAGCCTACAGAAAACAACACATTAGAAAGACAAAACTGAGAGATAAAATATTGTCTGGATCGTTGCAAACCTGCTTGAAAAGAGTAGCCATTTTCCGGAGCTCAATCTTTTCCTGGGACATTTCAATCTCTCGTTGCACGAGCTGAATGCCCAAAGCCTCCACCTATGAAGATCTTCCTTGTGAGAAAAGGAAAGAAACAAACATAAGAATCACGCATTGCTTCAGACCAGAGTCACGGATTCCTCGACATCATCTCTGTTTCGGCCAGCTACACGGCCTCCAAGCGCATCCAAAACGTTTCTTAGCTTAGTGATAAGCTCTTGCCTCTCGAGCATGAGAGCGCTCTGGAGCTTCTCCTGTGATACATGAAGAACATAAGAAGATGGAGAGAGAGAAAAGAGAAGGAGACTTATTTCACTCACATCTTCGGCGAGTTTTGCCGCGGCAGCGTGGGCAGCTTCCTGTCCTCGCTCGAATTTACTCGCCAGGTCACGAACAGACAATCGCTTCTGCTGCGCGACGAGGTCAGCAGCCTCCTTGGCCAGAATTTCACGCCTGGAAGGCGATGGTTGATCTTCCTCATCGCTTCCCAGCGCTAGAAACACGCTCCGCACCAATTTGATGTCTGCTTCCACACCCAGCGGCATCATCTCATGCCCGATCGATTGGATTCATGCGAATTGGAAGAAATTCGTCCTAGGGCATGATCCCGCTGCGCGCATTGGCAGCGAGAGCCCCGAGAATCCAGTTACCTGGGATTGCCGAGCTCTAGAGATGCAAATCGAGCGCCAGCATCTCCAGACCACAGCGCCAGAGAAGAAGAACACAAAATAGAGGAACTCCAAACAGAATCAAAAGGAAATAAAGCTTCCCGATCTTGACCGTCCATCGCAGCACTGTATCTGCACCGTCCAGCTGGACAGTCATCCAACGGCTGTCACGCACGTGTCGCGTAAAGAGCAATCCGACGGCTGGGCGCCGCTCATCATGATGTAAGGTCGAAGCTATGTGGTCACATTCTCGCCTAACACCACGATATAGAAATTTTTGGAATGATGATTCGCAGCAACGAGAAACCATGTTGATTCTATCATACCTCCCTTTCATTTCTTAAAGACAAGGTTTGATAGACCATGAGGTGTAGCCCACATTCGTTCGTTTCCCAGAAGAAGAAATCGCGAATGGCAGACAAGAAGGTCCTGGGTTCAACTCCTCTAGGGCTTGTAATGAAAAATAATTCCACATCGTTTGTCAACTTTTAAAAGGTTAGAGATAAGTAGAGATTGGGCCCCACTTTATCCATACCACATGCGTGACCGGACACGTGTCCCGGCAACCGGCTGGTGATTTTGCGAAGAACACGAAATGCGAAAATAACTATAAGTAAAGAAGGCGAGAGAGATTGCGTCTCTCGTCGGCATTTTCTCGAGCTTGGCTAGGGTTTGCGGCGCGCGCGTCGTGTGCTCTTGGCGGCAATCGATTTGTTGTCGCGATTCCTGGGAAGGAAATCGCTGTAGCATAGGAGGAGGAGCGGCAAAACGTCGTCAGCTGGATCGATCTCGCTTGGTCTTGTTGCGATCGCACAGTGGCCGTCTTTCTCTAGGGTTTTGGAATGGGAGGCGAGGATAATCTCGATGCCGCGCCTGTCATGCCGCCGAATTTCGGCGCTGCGTCGATCGATGCGCACAAGGAGGGCCAGGAGAGGGAGATCGGCAAGCACGGATTGAAGAAGCTCCTTGTCAAGGCCGGGGAAGGATGGGAGAGGCCGAGCACTGGGGACGAGGTCAAAGGTATGAAGTGCTCGTGGTTAGAGAGATTGGCACTAATGAGAAGAAAATGTGTGTTTTCTTTGTAGTTCACTACACTGGCATGCTTCTCGATGGAACCGAATTTGATTCCAGTAGAGATCGAGGAGAGCCTTTCTCATTCAAGCTTGGTGTTGGTAACCATCACGTCTTTTCGATCGTTTTGCCTACCTTGATACCTCATTTTTCACGTTTTATCTTTGTTTGCGCAGGTCAAGTTATCAAGGGATGGGACCATGGCATTTCTACAATGAGGAAAGGAGAGACTGCTACATTTACAATTCCGCCAGAGCTTGCCTACGGAGAAGCTGGCGCTGGCCCGTCGATTCCCGGCAATGCAACGCTCAAGTTCGATGTGGAGCTGCTCTCGTGGGACAGCATCAAGGAAATTTGCAAGGACGGAGGCATTTTAAAGAAGATTGTGGCCGAGGGTCGCAACTGGGCGACTCCCAAGGATGACGACGAAGTTCTGGGTGAGTTTTTGATATTTAAAAGCTATAGTGAAACGACTTTTGATTGTTGCTGGCAGTGAGATTTGAGGCGAAGCTGGAAGATGGAACTGTCGTGGCAACAACGCCACTGGCTGGAGTTGAATTTCGCGTCACAGATGGTGAGCTCCCACCGTTTACCTTTATACCATCCAATCATCTACAGCTTATTTACAGTGTATGCTCTGTTGCAGGATACCTTTGCCCCGCTATCAGCAAGGCTGTGAGAACCATGAAAAGGGAGGAGAAAGTTATTCTCACGGTAAAGTCGCAATGTAAGAATGAGCAGAATGAAAATTCCAGCATCTCCTTGTCTAACGTTGTAGCTATAACTGATAGATGGATTTGGAGAAGCTGGGAAGAAGGCACACGGTAATGAATGTGCTATTCCGCCAAACGCGAGTTTGATTATCAGCTTAGAGCTTTTGTCGTGGAGAGTCGTAGACTATATCACGCCGGATAGGAAGGTTGTGAAGAAAATTCTCAAGCAGGGTGAGGGTTACGAAATGCCTAACGATGGATCACTTGTTAAAGGTAAGAAAGGTCGATTATCGTCTTTTAGTGTTGCTATGTCTATAAATCTTGCAGTCAAGTACGTGGGAAAGCTTGCAAATGGGAGGGTGTTTGACGAGAGAGGCCTAGCTGGTGAACTGTTCGAATTCAGAGTTGATGAAGGTAATATTGCAAGTTTTTCTCCGTGAAACAGATTCTAAACTCTACCTTTGTGTGTGAAGAACAAGTGATATCTGGATTGGATAAAGCTGTTTCTAAAATGAAGAAGGGAGAGGTTTCCCTGATTACCATTGATCCTGAGTATGGCTATGGTAATTCTGTCACTCGTGGAAGTTTGAGCCTTATACCTGCGAATTCAACGCTTACCTACGAACTGGAGCTGGATTCTTTCGTAAAGGTGGGGAAGTCTACATTTACTCACAATGATAATGCTTGGTACAGGAAAAGGATCCATGGGATATGGATACAGGGGAAAAGCTGAAAGCTGCCGGTCAGAAGAAAGAAGACGGGAATGCTCTTTTTAAAGCCGGTAAATATCAGCGCGCCTCAAGCAAGTATGAAAAGGTATTGTTTCACGAAAGCTAAGCGATGAGCTGACCCCTCGTCTTTCCGCAGGCCATAAAGTACATCCAGCACGATAACTCCTTCAGTGAGGAGGAAAAAAAAGTCGTAAAGAAACTCAGGGCCAGCAGCAATCTGAACAATGCGGCGTGTAAGCTAAAGCTGAAGGAATACCAGGAAGCAGCAAAACTATGCACAACGGTACATTTAATTTTGCAGGTATTTGGTTGAAGGCTTTCTTCCTCCCAGGTTTTGCAAGTGGAGTCCCAGAATGTGAAGGCTTTGTATCGGAGAGCACAGGCTTACGTTGAAACTTTGGACTTGGATCTGGCCGAGTGGGATCTAAGGAAAGCGTTGGAGCTTGATCCCAATAACAGGTAACTCTGCCTAGTCCTCTATCAACGTGCTTCACATTTTCTCCTTGTTTTTTTCTTTTTGCGAGGCAGGGAGGTGAAGGTCGAGCTAACAAGGCTAAAACAAAAGGTTTGCGAGTACAACAAGATACAGGCGAAGATGTACGGAAACATGTTTGCTCGTCTAAGCAAGAAGGTGGAAGATAGAGGAACGGAGGTACAAGAGGTAAGCGAGCTTTCGAAGTTGCAAATGGCTTTAGCTGACATAGTGCTGTGCAGCCGGAGCGCATGGTAACGGAGAATTAGAGCCTGATCCTTCGTGATCCGCAATTTTGAGGTTAGCTTGGTTGTTTTAACCGCCCTAGGTGCCCTCCAAGCGCAAAGAAGTTTTGTTTCTGAGAAGCCAAGGAAATGAGTCGACAACCATTGGTGGAAGTAGAGCTGTTTATCGATGGTAAAGGGCCGGAGCATGTTTTCAAGGCCCCGCTTGGGGGCTGGGATCAGAACCGGCTCGACTTGGAACAGATCATGATCGACTACAAGCTGCGAGCAATCTATGCCTACTCGCTGAGTAGTGGGCGAGGCCAGCGGCTGCGCTACAATCCCAGGAATGGCCTCTCGATGCTTCCTTACTCCGGCAAGAGCGATAGCATCATTCGACTCGATGGCGATCCAAAGGTTCGAAAGTTCTCCATTTTATTTTTCCGAAAGTTCTACCTTGAATGGATTTCTATGATTTTGCAGAGGTCGCGGCTGGTGCCAGTGATAAAAATTGGTGTTGGAATCGGCTTCATCGTCGCGATGGTAACTTGCATCTTTGTGGATTTTAGTAGCGACTGGATCCAGGCTCTACGCAACGCAAGCGCTGGGAGGATGATGCTGGTGGTTTGTTTCGTCACCATGATCATCCTCCAGATCTCGAGACAGGCCAGGTCTCACAAGAAGAGGCTCTAAGATCTGGAAGTGATAGACAAGTAAAAAGACAAGTGAGAAGTTTTACTCTTTTACGCATCACTCCTCTTTTACGCATCACTCTCTTCGTCTGGGAGGTAAGTCAAGCGAAAGATGGGATGGTTGACAGTTCGAACGCCCTGTAAAAGTGCTTCTTGATGAGTAAATAAAGTTCTCTTTTTTACGTGAGTAGAACTTACTTGCCAGAGCCATTGTGGAATCCTTGGAGGAATGAGTATGCTCCCTTGGAAGGACTCCACAAACTGGGACTCCTCTCGAGAAATCTCTCCGGTTCTCTGGAATCGACAAAACTCCGCCGTCGATGTGGATAAGTTCCAGCACTGGAGCTTTCTCAGACACATTACCTGATCCACAGAAAATCACCACCTCGTGAAAAAAATAAAACGAAGTAAAAACTGTTACTTACCACAAGGCCGGTGACATGAGCTCCATCCAAGCAGTGCAAGTAAGCCGGCAAATTCTCCACGGAGATTATCCTGTGAAGGATTTCCACAACTTGGTTGTGGGAGAGTGTCACGACATCCTGCCAAAGTTAAGAGAATTTCAGAAGAATTTACTCGAGAAGGATCAAAACAATAGACCTGGAATTTGTCCACATGAAAGTGCTGCAGATGGATCCCTTGGTCTTGACAAAAGCTCCTGAGATCTTTGTTGGGTTGAGCCTCTGGAGTGAGCGATACTATCGTCTTCAAGTGTAGCCGCTTCAAGAATCTAAAGTTCTTCATCGTTGGGTAAGCCCCCCTGTGCAAGAAAGAAGAAAATTCTCTAGAGTTAGTACTCCTCTAGAAAGGAGAAAGATCAAAAGCTTACCTGTACAGCGATTCTTCCACAATCGCATACCTGAATGGAGGAATGAGCTGCGTCTGGAAGCTCTTGGCTGTCTCCATACCCTCTCAAACAGTAGCCTACAAACCTATACCTTCTAAAGACGAAAAAACAAAGTTGTCTAGCTTGCCTTGTCTACCTCTCTCTCTTTCCCAAAAGCCGAACTTTTTCCTTGCCGTATTTGAGAGTCTTCTTGTCACCGTTGTCAAAATTTACTGTGAACTGCGATCTGCGTTGCTGCACGTGAGTTATCGTTCCCTTCAACCTGAACACGAGAGTGGTTATAGTTAGTGTTCTTGGTATATGAAACTTTCCCGCTCACCATGTTTTATCAGACGATCGGCAGACTTCCACTCTCTTCGTCACTGCGTCCGAGCCAAGCCGGTGGAGAATAGATGTGTCGTCTTCATCCGATTCTACTGCGTCCGCGACCTCCTCCTCCTGTGAGCTCGCTGGCCTTTTCCTTTTGCTTCTCTGTCCCCGAGCTGTGTTGGAGGCTTCCACAACTTCGGTGCCCGACGGCTTTTTTATCTTGAGCTTGAGCGTCTTTCTCTCGGTTTCCGGGGGCTCAACGTTGTCACTCCTGGACCTTTTCTTGGATGAGTCGGCGGCTTCTTCACTCGACTTTCCTCTTGCTTTCGCGCTGCTATTCACTTTAAACACCCATTTCCCTTCCTTTCTGGCGGGTGCTGAAGCTGGTGCTTGCTCGTCGTCAGAGGACGGACACAGTCTAGCCATCTCGGATTCCGAAGGAAGACCAGCTGAAGCACGCAAGCTTTTAATCTGATCCCGATCTGCCTCGTCTTTGCGTTTCCATAATTCAACCACTGCTTCCTCGACACTCGTCGCCTAAGGGGGAAAACATGTTTGTGCAGCGAAATAGCAAGATGGCAGTATAAATTACCTGGAAGCATTCTCCACGACAGGCAGCACATGTGAAACGCAAATTTTGTATCGTTTGAAACTCCTGATATTTTTCATCGCTACAAGTAACAAACAAGGAAATTAATGTGCGCTAAAGCAGTTGATAAAAACATTACCTGATGCCTTCACAGACACAATGAACCCAATGCTCACAACCATCACATAAAACCATGGGCGTCGGCTCTGATTCTCTGTACACCTGATAAGACAAAGCATGAAAATATTGTCTTTGATTGACAATGACAATACCTTCATGCAGATTGGACAGTATTTATCTTTCACAAACAGTCGTCCGCAAGCATCGCAAAACAGATACGAGTGGAACCACCTGTGAAAAGAAAGAATCATAAAGAACTTATGCTAAGGACACGAAGTACGTACCTTGAACTAGAACCCCCTCCAGGAACACGAGTACCACAGCTATGGCACTGCGAGTGTTTTGGACAAAGAAATGGTCCTTTTGCCGGAGCCTGTGAAACCCAAACAGTCATAAAAGTTCGACGAAGTAATAAGTCTCTACCTTAGCACCACTTTGCTTGCAGTTATTGTGGTGAGCTTCATCGCATCTTTTGCAAAACAAGAGCCTGTTGGGATCACCCGTAACTTTGCAATCCTACATCAATTATGCTCAGATAAAACGATGTCAACCTGACAAGAAAAAAACTCACTTCACACGTCCGGCAATGCAAACAACGCCAAGAAGCCCAGTTGAATAAATCTGCATCGACCATTCGAAGTAAATGACCATCCTCTATCACAGCAAAACTCACCTCGATTTCCTGCCCAGTCTTTCAAACATTTGCGGTGGAATCGTCGGTCACATCCCTGGCAAGTTAGCATCCTTTCCTGCTTCTTACTCTCGGCTTCTGCCAGTTGACATAGCCCGCAGAATATCTCCTCGGGAGGAGCAACGCTTTCTTCCGGCTGAGAAGGCGTACTCACTTCCCCTCCTCCATCATCTGGTGTCTAAGAAACCAAGAAAAAAAATTCCATCGCTTACAAACAAAAGGAAGAAGATCGAAGCGAGGTACCTGATAGTCTGGTTGATTGTCCTCCGCTGGCACGCTTTGTTCTTCGATCTCCGGCTCTGGCTCTGGTTGCTCTGGTTGCTCTGGCTCCTCCTCTTGCTCGGCTTCGTGATCGGCCTCAGGTTCTGGCACTGACTCTAGAATTTTTTCTTCTTCCTGTGCTTGGAGCTCCTGAGGATCTTGAGGAGCGCCTCCATCTTCCTCGGCCGCTGCCGCTGCCACCGACGTGGATGGTTTCTTCTTTTTCTTCTTTGAGGACTCCTTGGACTGCCGCGGCACGAGAACCTCAACCGTGTCCTCGCCAGTCGTGATCATCAGTGGAGACTTCGCCAGGAGCTTCTGGAGAGCCGCCGCATTGCGTAAGAACGCGTCCTTGCCGCCGAGCTTGCGCAGCGGCCCTGACGATCCGAGCGCGCAGTTGCAAATCTTCCGGCTGCCAAGACAACCTCGATCTAGATCGGGAGAGTAAGAGAATCGCTTACCAGGTGAGAGGACATGCCACATGAAACGCCATCGCCTCCAGCTTCTTCCAGCCCTAAATTATAAGAGCTATTTAAATTCATTAACGCTTAATTATTTTAAATGGAAATATAATTTATGTATTTTTGTACTTTATAAATTTGTGAGGGCCAAGTGTACGGATACGATGCCGTATACTAATATTAGCGTAGTGGATTTTGGTAGCCGTCGGATTGGTTTCAATCCGGACCACTTGCTCCTGTATATAAACTAGGGTTTTTGGGCTAATTGATATGCACATTTCTATATTCCCTTTCCATATTCCAGGCACTCACATTGGTGGAGGTGAGGGGCACCTTTGATTATCCCTGAGGAGTGCTTGGATTTGGGATTTTGATTTAGATCTAGCTTTTGCATCGTCTAGATCTAGCTTTTTCCATTTCCTTTCTTTTGTTCTTTCTTTTGGTTTAGATCTAGCTTTTTGCGTTGTCTAAATCTACCATTTCCTTCTAGCTTTTTGTCATCTCTCTTCTTTTGCTCTTTCTTTTTCGTTCATCTTCATGGCAGATCCGCAATCTCCTCCTTTGACTCTAGAGCAGCAGTTGGTACAATTGCTTGATGCTATGCGCTTGTAATTGAACAACCAAACTCAGTTGATGGCGGCGTTCACGGCACGTGGTACAACTCCTCCTGCTCTTGGTGCTAATCCTCGCGTTCGGCCGGAGTTCTTTCGCGGGAATCCTGGGGATGATGTGTACCATTGGTTCGATCACTTCACGGTGATTGCCACATATCATTCTTGGGATGATGCTCGACGTTTGCGTGAGTTTCCCATGTGTCTCCAAGGGACGGCGTTGCAGTGGTACAATGGTTTGAGCGCAGCCACTCGTGGGGATTGGAGTGTTCTCCCGGACGTCTTCAAACGCGCCTTCGGACATGCCGATGATTGTGATGATGCTTTCCAACAATTGCATCGTCTTCGCCAAGGGCCATCTGAGTCAGTGATGCAATTTGGCGTTCGTTTCCGAAGTCTTTTGCTTCGTGCGGAGCCAAATATGTCGGAGCGGATCAAGCTAGGAATGTTGTGGCCAGCACTTCGTCAAGATCTTGTCGGACTTGTGCATGCACTTGCTCTTGCCACCCTTGATGATGCTCTTCGCTTGGCACAACGTTATGAGACGTCGCCTCTTCCACTTCTCGCTGCACGTCCTTCCGCTCCACTTCCTATGGGTGATGGTCCTATTCCAATGGAGGTTGATGCTGCTGCTGCTCGAGTCCAAGGACAAGCGCGAGGACGTGGTCGTGGCCGTGATGTTCGCTGCTGGGCGTGTGATGAAGTTGGTCATACTTATCGGCGTTGCCGTCGTTTTCCGGATTGGCGACCTCTATTTCCTGGGTGGAGACCTTGGCGTCAGCAACGTCCCGTGGGTGCTGCTGCAGTGGAAGGTCTGGACACTGAGATGCATCCGGGAAACGAGGAGTCGCGCGAGTAATGGAGGGACCTTGCGCGAATAAATCAGTGACCCCTCCATCTTTCTTTTGGGAGTATCATCAAGGGGTTCACTCGGCACCGGTTCATCCCGTGTTTACTTTCCAAGCTCGTTTTTATAACAAGAGGTTTCCTATTATTCTCTCCGTGTTGGTTGATACAGGTTCGAGTTTATCTTCTATTGCTCGACCTGTTACCACACGTTGTCGTCTACACTTGCGTCATGCGACGGAACCAGTTTTCATTCTTTATGGCAACGGCCGTACACATGCATGTGCACGGGATGAGGTGGACCTGGTTGTGCGTGTGGGCGATCTCGAACTTGAGTTGCAGTCGTTGCGGGTGGTGCCAAGTCAAGCTTTTGACCTCATTCTTGGTATGGATTGGTTGCAGGGCAATCATGCCAAGTGTGACTTTGAGGCTTCTCCCCCTTGTCTCATACTTCCTTATGTTTCATCCATTCCTCTCACTTCCATACCTCTTCGTCCCTCTACTTCTACCTCTGCTTCCATTACTTTTGTTCCCCCACTCTTTCCTTTTGTGTTTCCATCTTGTTCTGCTTTTCCCTTTTCCGATCCCTCCGACGATCTTTGTGTTGCAGCAATTGACCGGCTCATGAAAGAGTATTCTGATCTCTTTGAATTTGACCTATCGTCTGGGGCCAAGATTGCCACACGTCATCCGATTCCAACCGGGGATGCTCGTCCAATCAAGGTTCCTGTTCGTCGTCGGTCACCTAAGGAGATCAAGATTTTACGAGCCAACGTCAAGGAAATGCTGGAGAAGGGTGTTATTCGGAAGTCGCGGAGTCCTTGGGCATGTGAACCTCATCTTGTGACGAAGCCTGATGGGAGTATTCGTTTCTGCATCGACTATCGCCCGTTAAACGAAGTGACGATCCCAGATGTGTATCCTCTTCCTCACACTGCTGATCTCTTAGATCGTCTGGGGCGAAGTCGTTGGTTCACCAAGCTAGATCTTGCTTCTGGGTATTGGCAAGTACCAATGGCCGAAGAAGATATTCCTAAGACTGCTTTTCGTACACCATTTGGTTTGTACGAGTTCTTGGTGATGCCGTTTGGTTTGAACAATGCTCCCGCAACTTTCCAGCGGATGATGGACGAGGTTCTTTGCGATATGCCGGAAGTGACTGCTGACTTCATTGATGATGTCTTGATCCACTCGGAAGGGATGTGGGAGGAGCACGTTCGTAATGTTTGTAAAGTGTTGGATCGGCTACGGGATGTTGGTTTAAAGCTGAAGCGGTCAAAGTGCGTGTTTGGGTCCAAGGACACAACTTATCTTGGGTACCGTATTTCTCGTGAGGGTTTGCAAGTTGATCCTGACAAACTTGTGGCTGTTCTAAAGTTCCCTACTCCGAAATGTGTGAATGATGTGCAACACTTTTTGGGTAAGGTGCAGTATCTCGGTCGTTTTGTGGATCATCTTTCCGATCGCACTACACCATTGCGAGCGTTGCTGAAGTCATCAACGTCATCTTTCATCTGGTCTCCGGATTGTGAGCGGGCGTTCGTGGATCTCAAAGAGCTATTGACGACTCCTCCGGTTTTGGCATATCCTGACTACACTCGACCTTTTATTTTGCGCGTGGATGCTTCTGACATTGGTCTTGGAGGTGTGTTGATGCAAGAGAGCTCGAGTGTGCCTGGTCAGCGCCATCCCATTGCATACATAAGCCGTACATTACAACCAGCGGAGATGAACTACTCCACGACGGAGAAGGAGTGTTTAGCAGTAGTCTGGGGTTTCGAGAAACTTCATGCATATCTACATGGTTCTCGGACATTACTTGAAGGTGACCATGCTGCTGTTACTTCATTATTGAAGCGGAAGAACCTGGTTGGTCGTACGGCTCGATGGGCTTTGAAGCTTCAGATATATGATTTCGATGTTGTTCATCGCCCAGGGAGTTCTATGGCTGATGCTGATGCCCTTTCTCGAGCTCCTCTTCCTTCTCCACTCACTTCTCATGTTTCTGACGAACCTATTGTTCCAGCGTCTGTGGATTTTCTAGATGAGGATTCTGTGCCGTCGGCGGTTGCCGTCCTTGACATTCAGTGTCCACAGGGCGCAGAGCAAGATCTACCTTCTCTTGATGAGGTTCGCGAGGCTCAAACGATTGAGCCGTGGATTCGAAGGCTTCGAGATGGGTTTGAGAATCCTGCATCACTTGCTGATGACTTGCCTTTCCGGCATTTACATTCTCAATATCGCCTTGAAGATGGCCTTCTTTATTTTGTGGGGACGGATCCTGATGATCATTTACGGTTGGTGGTGCCTTCGGTGTTTATTCCGCGGTTTCTCCATGCCTACCATGATTCTCCTGTTCTAGGTGGGCATATGGGACACCGTCGTGTCACCGAGAAGCTGCGCAGGTCTTTCTATTGGCCGGAGATGCGACGTGATATTATCCGGTATGTGCGTAGCTGCGTTTGGTGCCAAGCTCGTAATACTCCCCCTTGTGCTGCGGAAGGACGGTTGGAGTCAATTGCAGTTTCCCGTCCGTTTGAGTTTGTGGCGTTTGATCTTATGGGACCTTTTCCACGATCGACTGCTGGCAATGAGTATGTTATTATTGCTTCTGACTACTTGACTCGTTGGGTGGAAGTTGGTGCTCTTGCTAGCGCCTCTGCAACTGCTGTTGGATACTTCCTCCTCAATCGAGTGGTGTTCCAGCATTCTTGTCCAGAGCGGATTCTTTCGGATAATGGTCCTGCATTTATGGCTGAGGTATTTCATGTTTTGACATCTCGGTTGGGAATACGCCACACTTTTACGAGTGCTTATCATCCACAATCAGACGGTCTGGTGGAACGGCTCGTTCGGACATTCAAAGGGGTGATTGCGAAGTATGTGAACTTTCAGCATTCGGATTGGGATGGTTATTTGCCGTCTCTTCGGTATGCCTATGTCACAGGGGTGCAGAGTTCTGTTGGTGCTTCACCATATAAACTTCTATATGGTCATGATCCAATTTTACCAACAGAGCTGGGTTTACCTTCGTGATTGCCACGAGCTCCTGATGCTAGGTCATGGGATCAGTATTTGACAAAAGCTCTATTTCGTTAAAGTGGGATTTATTCAGTAAAATGGGACTAGGTACAAATTTTCAAGTATTTGAAAATGACGTGAAATTATATGTTTTTTGTCCAGGGGCTAGACATATCTGGGGCATGGTGACTAGCGCGGTGACCTTATGTCCAGACTGAGTCCATCTAGTTGTATAATAAATCTCATTGTCAAGGTGAACAAGCCGAATCTGAAGCTAAAGAAAAGCGATGGCATGCGCGCACACACTATTTGTTTGTTCATTGAGCGTGTGGTGAGCTTTCCAAGATGAACATCATTCCTATTAGCCAGACATATAACTTAATGGTGAGAACATTTAGATATTATTCAATGTTATCTTTTTCTAACGAATCTAATTGTGAAGGTGTAGCAAGAGGCATTGCTAGTCTGGAGAAGTCATTTAACTCATTTGACCCTTAGTGTATTTTCATGAAACTAAATAACATTCATATTATTAAGGAATTTCTCTAGTACCTTTTTTTTACGA